GCCAGAGCGAGTCCCCCTGGTCTGTCCGCGCCCCCCCTCCCTGGCCTGTGAGGCGGCCCCGGCCCCTGTGACCTGCTCGGCTGCACTGGCGCTGCTGAGAACCGCCCCCGCTGGCTGCAGAGCCGGGCTGGGCGGGGGAGGAGCTGCTGTCATTGCCCCCCCCCCCCCCGGTCGACAACCAAACCCTGCAGCCTGGGCCACGATCTCTCCCCTTGTGTGGCAGCCCCGTCCCCTGCCCGCCTGCTGCCCCCGGCCGCGCTCTGCAGGAGGGCGCGTCTCTCCCCGGTGTAGTGTAAGTACAGCGCCAGGCGCGGCTGGGTTCCAGCCCCCCCTCCCCCCCGACACACATTGCAGCTGCGGGCTACTGCTTGTGCAACGGTGTTTGCCACACTATGGTAGGCTTCCGTCCCGCAGAGCCTCTTAATGTGATGATTGTCTTACAATGCGGTAGAGGCTCAAGGTCATTAACGTTAGTGGTTCATGGGCTCCAAAGTTGCCAATAAGGGGGGACTCGATGTCACATGTTTTTGTGAGCACTGTGCAGGAAGGCACAAGCAGGTGCTGTTTTGTTGTAATGAAAGTACAAGGAGGCTGAGGAGGCAATATCTTTTGTTGGACCATTTTCTATTGGTGAGAGAGAGAAGCTTTTCAGCTGCACAGAGCTCTTCTTCAGGTCTGGGAAAGGCCCTCAGAGTATTACTGCTAAATACAAGGCCGAACAGATAGTTTAGCATAGATAGCACATATTTTAAGGGACCATTTCCAATGAAGTTGCCTGTTAACGCCCCTGTAGCTGTAGGGCAAAAAGGAGGGGTTAATGGGTTACAGATTGTTGTAATAAGCCATAAATCCAGTGTCCCTGTTCAGTCCATGTTTTTTAGTGTCTAGCAAAGTTACGAATTTAAGTTCCTAGGCTCATCTTTTGAAGGTGTTGTGTTGGCTTCCTTTGAGGATGAGGGCTGATGAGTCAAATGTAGAGCGAGCACTTTGTGAAAAGTGTTCCCCCCATGGGTAATATAGTATTTTTGTCTTTTTATCATTTTCCTTTTGTGAGTTCAATTGAGAGCATAGTGATTGGTTTCACCCATATAGTTACTATTGGGGCATTTAGTGCTCTGGATGAGGTACACCACATGTTGTGATAGGCATGTGTAGGACCCATGGAATTTGAAAAGTGTGTTGTGGGGGTATTAATCATTGTAGCAGTGGAGATAAGTCTGCAGTTTTTGCATCTGTTATAGTAACAGGGTTTGGTGCCACTTTGAGTTGGTGTATCTGGTCTGTGGGGAGCTTTCTTCTGATGATAAGCTTGGAAAGATTGGGGGATTGTTTGAAGGCCAGAAGAGGGGGTTCAGGAAATATTTCCTTCAGGGTGGGATACCCATTGAGTATGGGTTGTAATTTTGCTGATACCCCATATGGGTTCCAGTGTGGGGTGGTAGGTAACAACTAGGGGTGTGCAGTTGGAAAGGGGTTTATTTTTGTATTAAAGCAGGTTCTTTCTGGGTATTTGGGTAGCCCGTTTAATGTTGTGATCTACTTCTCTAGAGGAATGTCTGTGTTTGGTGAAGGTGTTTTTGAGTATGTTAGGTGTGTATCTCGGACTTTCTTCTCAGAGCTTATTCTGCAGTATCTGAGTGTCTGGCTGTAGATAAGTTTCTTGCTGTGTTTGAGGTGGTTACTGGATCTGTGAAAGTAGATGTGGGGATCCGTAGGTTTCTTGTACAAAGTTGTTTGTAGGGTTCCACTGAAGCTGATTTTGGTGTCCAAGAAGTTGATGCTGTGTGGGAGTGTTCCAGAGAGAGTTTAATGGACGGGTGGTGGTGGTTGAAGCTGTGGTGGAAGTCTGAGGGATTTTGTCATCTATCCAGAGGATGAAAATATCATCCATGTATTCAGGTATATCATTGGTTTTGTGGTATAACTCAAAAGCTTGTGTCTCTCACCAACAGGAGTTGGTCCAATAAAATATATTATCTCATCTACCTTGTACCTCTAATATCCTGGGACTGACATGGCTGCAACAACACTGCATACACGTATTGAAAGTGCAGCATTTGTAAACCAAAACCTGGACCCTGTGTCTGGAAGATGTACTTTCATAAAAAAAAAAACTTATTGGGCATGATGCAGCTATGGCTGTGTTAAGTTTTGTGGTCTGTGAGATACAGTAGTCCAGACTAGATAAGTGGTTTTCAACCTTTTTTCATTTGTGGACCCCTAAAAGATGTTAAATGCAGGTGCAGATCCCTTTGGAAACCTTAGACATAGTCTGTGGACCACAGGTTGAGAACCACTGGACTAGATGATCAAGTGGTCCCGTGTGGCCTTCAAAACTATTTTAGGTAGGAGTTGCCTCACTCCGTTTTATGGACATGTAGTAAAATCATATGATGTTGGTCAGATTTCTTTAAAAATTGTTAGGCAAGAACAGAACCTATGGCTGTACAAAATGTAGCCCTAGTCCTGCAAAGGAATCTGCAAGTGTGGACACCCGTATGGAGTCCCTGTGAAATTAATGAGTAACGTGTGCGTGGACTCTTTTACATGACAGGAGCCAATGATATGAACATGTGGGTCAGAAACTCAGAAAACTGACTAGAATTTTTATGGTCGTTATAGTAATTATCCCTGCATTGTGAAAACAAGTGTATGGTATTTTACAATAATTAAGGCCTGACTTAAAGAGCTTAAAAAAGATAACATATGCTTACAAGGGCGGCAGGAACTCTTCTTAATACAAAGTGTAAAGAGTGAATGCCAGGACATGAGATGAAAGGACAAGTCTGAGTTTTTACTTTAAGATAGTGGGATAATGATCCTCTTCTCTTAATAGGACTATAACTGTGTGTGTGTAACATATATACTGGTATAGAGTATACTGTACTCAATAGCATTACGTTACTGAAAGGTCAATATACATTTTATAAAATGTGGAATTGCTTAAAAGAATGTGGAACATGTTGCTGCTGTAATAGTGGCTTTTATAAAATTAAGCACTTTTATTGGTCGTTTATTAACACAGTGTCTAAGGCACATTGGTAAGTGTTCTGTTGGTATGAGACTAATTCAGTACTACAGTATTGCATATAGTTCTTCAGCTTTTTATTGCTAAGCAGAGTTTTGTGGCAACTATATAAGTGGCCCATCAGCCTGGTATCATCCCCACTTCCTATCCACTGTCCTGTTTGGTCACAGAAAACTGCAGAAGAGATCTGGGGTTCGGTCTTCCTGCCACTCAGAGCCAAAGAACACCTCTATCTTCTTGCTTTATGGTCCATGGGACGAGGAGACAGAGTCACAAGAGGCCGTGGAGCCTCACAAATTGATGAGGGAGGTAATTACCTAAAGGTAGGATGTGGCTGGGAAGAAGGGTGGGTTCTATTATAGGTGGATGGCATAGAGCTTCCCAAAAGCTAGCGCCAGCCCTGCAGAAACTAAAATGCTGACATTGCTGTAGCATGAAGGTCCTTGTAGAAGTGACAGTCTGTATCCGCAAAAAGAACAGGAGTACTTGTGGCACCTTGGAGACTAACAAATTTATTAGAGCATAAGCTTTCGTGGACTACAGCCCACTTCTTCGGATGCATATAGAGTGAAACATATATTGAGGAGATATATATACACACATACTCTAGTTGGTAAGACAACTCCCACCTGTTCATGCTCTCTGTATGTGTGTATATATATCTCCTCAATATATGTTTCACT